GGCACTTGTTACTACTAGCTTCTTGTTACTACTAGTAAGGCACTTGTTACTAGTAGCTTCTTGTTACTACTAGTAAGGCACTTGTTACTAGTAGCTTCTTGTTACTACTAGTAAGGCACTTGTTACTAGTAGCGTGGCACTTGTTACTACTAGCTTCTTGTTACTACTAGTAAGGCACTTGTTACTAGTAGCGTGGCACTTGTTACTACTAGCTTCTTGTTACTGTATTTTCACTCCATGTAATATGTACATTTTGTACCTTGCACATAGTAGGATGTCATGTTGACTTTACCTTCGCAGCTCGCGGCCCAAAACAGGAGTTGCAGCTTAACGGCTGTTTCTATAGGTTATCAGCCGTAGTGCTCTAACCACAGCCATGGACGTTCTTGCTATTCCTGGGAACGGTACATCATCGGTAGCAGTCCCAGCCGGTCTCATGACTGAGCCCACGGTGGATCTAGATGACCCCATGGGTTCAGCTCCTGTCACAGCTTACTTTCAGTTCGTTCAGCAAAACATCCAACAAGTGTACAACGGAAACGAAGATGCTATTATTGCTGAGGCAGAGAGAAGGCACAAAGAGATAATGGGACAATGGTTGGAAATGGTAAAAACCAAGTTTCGTCAAGCAATCGATGAAGTAGCGAGCAAGCATCATGATGAACTCAGTTCGGTAAGGCAACAAGCTCAATCTAGCTACAACCAAGTGCAAGGGGAACTAAGTGCCGCAAAAGCACGAATCCTTAAGCTAGAGAGTGAAAGGTCCATTGAAGCTGAAGCCAGAAAAGCAGAACTGGACTCCTTGCGCATTCAGCTCATGCACGATTGTCAGCAAACTGTCACTGCCATCACCAGCGGTGCCGAGCAAGGTGTGGCAACGCTTCGTGCAGAGTTTGATGAGCGGGAAACTCAGCTTCGACGTGAGCTACGCGATGCAGAAAATGAAAACTATAGCCTGCAGCAAATGCTCGATGACCTTAAAGCCAAAATGCATGCTGGACCCGAGCTAGAGTACCATCCAACAAGTGTCATGAACACACCAGTGTCTACCCCTAGGCATGATGACACAAAGAGGAAAAATCCTCTGGAGACCATTGCAGCAGAGGCTACTGCACGTTTGAGTGGACTGTTCGCACCCAAAGCGCCGACGGCCACCATCATCGGTGATGCCCCACCAGGGGCAGCTGCTCCTTTCAAGCCCGTGCTTCCAGTTTACGGAGGCACAGCAGCGGATGGGGGCAAAACACCGACAAATTTGTTCCATAGCCCTGCACCTTCAATTCGCGAACCCCATAAGCCAGCGTCATCAGGTGCTATCACCTCTGAGCAGGTGATTGAATTGGTCAAGTCACTCACACAGAGAGAGTCAGATGAGAAGCCAAAGGTAAAGGAGGCAGATCATATCAAGTTAAATGACATGCCAACCCCTGAAACCTATCGGCAGTGGAAACATCATGTGAGGGACGAAATCAAGTCATGTTCTGACAAACCAGATGCTGCCTGGGACTGGTTAATGGAGGTTTACAACACTGTTGATGAGAGGAAAGTTCTGGAAGAGCGGTTGTCTAACCCTGGGAAGTTCACAACGTTGGATACCAAGTTGGCAGCTGCACTGACCAGAAGTGCAAAGGGTGATCTAGCAAACCGAATCATCAATTACAAAGAAGAGAAGGCAAAGCTAGGCATCCAGGTTCGAGGAAGGATGATTCTTCTCATGTTCGATGACTATTTCAAGACCTCGGAAGAAGCGGGTAGCCTCTACAGGGTTGAAGATCTCCTTAATGTGGTAAAGGTAGGCGATACTGTAGCGGACTTGAAGCGTTTCATCAACCGCTGGGACGCTACCATCGCTGGTATGCCCGAACCACCGCATGAAAACGTGCTTCGAGACATCCTTTTAAGGCAGATCCGCACTAGCACAATCCTGAGGTACGACATTGATCTCTTCGATCGTGCAAAAGAAGGTGACCATCATCGGTCTTACAAGTTCCTACTGCAAAGCATCAAGGATCTGATAGATCGGGAACGCCTTCGTGAGAATCGATCACGTATCGCGGAGCGAAATCGGCTCAAGCCAGGTGATCGACATGAGAAGAATGCAGCCCCTACAGTTGATCCTCGGCGAAAGCGTTCGCCATCGCGCGGACGATCCACTTCTCGGGAAAAGGGCATTTGTTGGGCCTTTTTGGAGGGAAAGTGTGCAAAAGGGAAAGATTGCAAGTTCAAGCATGAAAAGCCCAAGCGTGACCCTTCCAAGAAGCGCCAACCATCCCGGGAGCGGAATGAGTCGAGGGACAAAAGCACAGATAAGGAAAAGAAGCGGATGACTAAGGAAGAGATGGCGAAGACCCCATGCAGGTACGATCAACAAGGTACATGCAGAAGAGGAGACAAGTGCTTTTTCAAACATGGAGAAAAGGCTTCACCGGCTCCGAAAACGAAGCCAAGAAAGGATTCCCCAAAGCCAAAGGCAAAAGGAGATACCAAGAAGGCTGCCATTTGCCTGAGCAATCGGTTTGCATGTCTTGCAACTGGTGTGCCCGGACGATCATGTCTCAAGAAGTCCTGTCTTCCTCCAGCGAGAAAAAGGTCTAAGTCGTCTGTCCGAAGAACTACATTCGTTATGAAACCTGAAATTCGCACCATCCCTGCTCGCGGGGAACATTGCAAGATGGTCAAGCGTGAGCGCAAGTACAGTGTGCATTTTGCCACGAGCGATCGCGTGCCCAAGAGCGACCCAAAGGCAGCCCACATGGCCAAGGTGAAAGCTAGGCAGTTGGCTGAAGTTGTTCGAAGCTTTGATAGCGCAACAGTGCCCTCATGTCGTTTCCTGTGCATCGAATCGTCGCTTACTTGTCGTGAGTGTCGAAGCTTGATCAAGTTGAAAACATGTCCTACTACCATCCCGACAATAGTTGCTGGTCCAGCACCAAGGGAAGGCAGGTTCTCATGGCTCGTCGATTCCGGGAGTGAGCAAGACCTCCTCAGCAGAAAAGTTATGGATGCTGCTGGTGCGGAGAACCCAAGACGGGCTCCTCACACCATCAGTCTGATTACTGCAAATGGGTCGACCGAAGCCAGCGAGGTAGCTGATGTCAAGATGATGCAGCTGCTGGAGCCTTGCACGCCGTATTTGCTGGATGAATGCCCGGCTGTGCTCTCAGTTGGCATTAAATGCCTTGACCAAGGGTATAGTTTCGTGTGGCCAGCAAACGGTACTCCGATCCTTGTACGACCAGATGAGAAAATCGTTCAACTTCGTATTGATGGTCATGTCCCAGTCCTCGACTCCGAGTGCAAAG